TGGAATTGTTCACAATTTCGTCCCTATCCTCCCATGCTACTCAAGCACGCGTAATTATATAATATACAATATATCCCTCTCTGATAAATTACACGGTGTTAAAGTGACAGTTTAACGGGGCCGAAATGATTTGTACACGTCAGGAGATATCGTAATTATCAACGAGGGTGAAGGTGTATCTACATTCAAACAGGATCCTTTGTTGTTGTGTCCCGCTGGAAACGAGGCTTCCGGCTCTGCAATCTTCCTTCGAACTACACGATTTGGCCGGCGCACCGGTAGTATTACATCCTGCGGCAAATTGAGCGCGTCGTCGCGAGATACGGGGAAAGATGAGACAAAATGGGAGGGAAAGGGGAGGGGGGGGGTACTTAACGTTGAAAAGGGAGCAAGAGGCTGTCCAATCACGAAAGGCTTGCGCATTTTACGCAACGTTAATAACACCTAATTTTTAATTACACATCTCGCTTTGTCGAAGCGGAGATTATTGAATTCGCCATTCCAAACGTAGAAAAAGAAATTTGCTATTTTTGATTCTGTCGTTCCACGAATTCCACGAATTATAGCGAAACCTAAATATTTTATTTGATATCTCCTTTAACCCTCATATATCTTTTTTCAATTCAACGTACTCTCGTGAAGTATGTTCCATTTATAGATTAAGATGTGGGTTACCCTGTATGTATGAATATATTGGAAGCACATTTCTGTGCCGTATCTCGGCAAAAGGGACTAGCGGGAAAAAGAGAAGCGATCGTTTTGGCGACATCAAGAGACGAGATATACCGACGGCAAACGCAGGGCATGAATATTTAAGCTGATTATTTTGCAGTTATTCATCGGTTAAGTTCCAAACGAGCCCGGTGGCAACTTAGTTACGGAGCCGCAGTTAAGAACTTTACCGGCGCGCGGCATCGCGCGTTCTACGTCGCTTTCCGCTCTCCGTCTCCATTTTGCACCTTCCGTCGTCCGCGCTACGATTTAATTTATTGCGAGCGATCTAATTTCACGGCGACATTATAGCCCGACCGCATTAGTTGCGGAGCGATCGTTAGCCGATCGTGGAATTCCCATCTTCATGGAAGAAATAACAGGCAGCGTTTACTTTGCGCGGTTACGGTTCTCGCCTAATAAACTTTACTTGCAAACGTAAACAAATATAAGTAAAAACGATAATATTCTCGTTCCAAAAGCTGAACTCAATAGCGAATTTTAACAAAGTTTAAATTTAAATTGTTTATTCGTATATCTATCCTCTACGAATGCGAAAGAGTTAAAATGTAGATTGTGCATTAATGTATAATATAAATAAAGCAAGTTGGATAAAGCAAGTTGAATGGTTAGTGTGCAAAACACGTACGTGATTTCGGAGGATCTTTCCGACGGTGGCTTTGAATTTTCCAGGACTTCGTGTCGACGGCTCAAAGTGAATTCTAGAGTACGATAATCGAAAAAGTTGACGACCACTGTATCAGACGTTACCGTTGGATGGAAGATCGAGAGACGAAACGCATTCGAGACACAAGTTGAAACGGCAGGAACCGAAGTTTCGACTCGAGTCTACAGAGTCTCTTTCCCCTTTGAGCTGTAGAATTACCCGGCGACTACATCGAGAAGATGTGTAAACGCAAATTTTCAAGCGGCTACAGTAGACTAAACTCGGCTTGATATCAATGGCACTATCTACTTTAAGTATCGCGCTATAATTTTATCTACGCATCCGAGTTTATTCGTGCAGTATGCTGCTGCTTTTCTACATTATTATGAGTGTATATTTATTGGGGCAAAAAGAACGAGAGAAAAAGGAGAAAGGATCGCACATAGAGAGGCAATATATAATTTTCAGCAATATAATTTTTGGCGGTTGATGCTGAAAATCTAAATCCCGTTTTCAAAAAGACCTCGACGATTTATTTTTCAATTTTAATTTAAGTTTTCTCTATAAAAATTCGGCCGGATTACCGTTGCATCCGGCGAACGTGATGAAAATTTGCGCATCGCCGCCCATCCATACATCGCGAGTATCGCGTCGGCCTTACGTTCACCTCGATGCAGCAAATGCATAACGACCTGTGTCCGCCCCCCTCCCCTCCCCCCCGCCATCACCTTGCCACTCCATTTTCACACGTAATGTTGTTATTACGTCGCTACGCGCGACGATGGCATACCCGGGGTGTAATTTCTCCCCTTCGATCTTCGCTGTATTCCGACGCATTTCAAGATGCGTTACACCCGAATGGAATCCGAATGTATTCAAAACGCGATGTATCTCTGCGAACCCCCGCGATTATTTGGATTGGATTTTAATTTCTGATATCGAAAACAAGTAACAATAACTAATCGATGGAATCCATCAATTTCTTTTCGTTTTCAAGGCAAAAGGTTTTTCTTCGATTCTTCAGTAACTTTCTAACAATAGCTTGGAAGAATCCGCTCTACTTTGCATAGACTTTTGTGGAAAGATTTAAAGTACCACTTTTGAGATTACTCCCAGACGACGATCTTATTCAATTTACGTATTATCGCAAGTCTATAATAAGATCAAATAGAAACGACAAACATTTTCTTTTCCATCAAGATTTTCAGATCTGAATTTATGTATGGCTAAAACAAAATTCTTGTTGTAATTCGTAAATATCACGCGCGCTGATAATGGCAAACTGCATTCGGTACGTTGTTAGCGCATGAGAAAAATTGAATATTCTAAAAAAAACTAGAATACACCGTGAAAATAAGTTTAAAAATATTTTCTCGCAAATTGATGACGTGGGAGATTATTTTCGAGTTTTTACAAAATGAAAAAATCCCGTGTTCAGGATAATATTTGTGTAAAACTGCGTAAAGAAAAGAGTATTGTATAAAATTGCACAATCGTGTAATTATGAACGCGCCAATTCGGGGATTTTAATTAGCAAAAAAAAACTTTGCTCCTCGACGAATGAAGTCTTCAACTTTGGTCGCTGCTTCATTCAGAATAACCTGAGGTATTTGAAACGAGCGCGGAGTACCGGCAGGGTATATTCGCGTCGGTTTTCGATCGGTCTTTATTTTCTGTTCGTAACTTTTAAGCCATCCCTCTTCGCTTTCCATCCTGACTTTTTATCCAAAAGTAGCAGCGCGCTGCCTGTAATAACCACGCAGAGAGAATAGACTAGGGAAGAATAATTCTCCTGGCTTCGGAGAAGAAAGAGAGAGAGAGAGAGAGAGAGAGAGAGAGAGAGAGAAGAAAGTCGCGATATATATTCATCCAGCGGTGTCACTCCGCTGGCTGACTACGGTCCACTGTTTGTCACCCGGTGTCTTCTCTCGCTTTCGCATTGTACTCTTTCTTCCATGTCTCCTCTCGCCTGGGTCTTTCGCTTCCTATCTCCGTCCTTCCCCTTTCTCTCGCTTCCAAATTTTGCCATGTCTCTCGCAGCCCCGTCCACCGCATTGTCAACATCGGAATACGCTTCTCCACCTTGTTCGCCGCTTCCCCACCCCCTCACCGTGTCCGTCTACATTTCTCTTTAACAGCGTATATCCCTTTTCCTCCCCGTCCCACCCTTCCGCGCGCGTCCGCCCTTCCGCGTCCTGCTACTGTGATCTTGCTCCGCAGTCCCTTTATCTCTTCACCCGTCGCCCGTTTACGTTTCTAAGCGCATGGCCACAGGCCGCTTCTCCCCAATTCTCATGTATTTTTGGATGTAGCGCCGCATCGTGAAACGGTTCAACGACCCCCTTAGTCTCCCCAGACCGGAACGTGCTTACGTATGCGACCGCCCATCGACGAGAAATATGGAAAAATTGTGATTGATCGTCGTCGTACATCCTACGAGTACTCGACGACGCTACGACTGTTCTCCTAACGAGTCCTCGATATGCTTTCGGTTCTTTCTGCTTTACGACCCGAGAAACGGTCCCGCGACCAAATGGCGCGGAGTACATATACGGAGTATATACACATCGATAGTTTCACGATCGGAAGTGCTCGTGTTCCAATTGTTTTTACGATTTCCCCGTGCATAATATATAAAATCTCTTTTTCGAATGCCGCACATACGGGATATTCCGCAAATAATTATATTATCGTAATGGATTTTAAAGATTAAGTAAAATCGGAAATTTTAACACGAAAATGTCAAAGATCATAATAATTTTTGGTTTAAAGATGATTAAATCTGATATTAAAGCAAATATTAAACGCAAGCAAGATTTTCTCTATTCATTGTATTGAAATAATTGTATTAAAATTGTCATAATTCTCAGCATTATATTTCTTCCAATATAAAATATTTTAAACTATATAGTTCTATTTTAAGATAATCTATAAGTATAAAGAAATCTGTCCTGACGAAAAATTTACTATCTCACGCAGTTCTATCCTGACAAAAAATTCATTACCTCACGTAATCTTCGTCCTGACAAAAAATTCATTATCTCACGTAATTTCAAGTAAATGTAATTTCTAAAACTTCATTTCAAATAAATAATGTAATTAATCAATAAAAATGAACAAACCGACTATTAAATATTAATATAAACAAAAAGTTATAAAAGTTATTAAAAAAATACAATTAATAATCATTAACGTTTCAAATAAATAAATGAATTGGAATCAAATATTCTGTTTGCGAAATATTTTTTATTTGTCTTTAATTTATATCTATGAGCTTGTCTAAAAACTTGAATAAATTTCAGTCTCGTAATTAGTATTCTGTCGTATGAGATACAAAAATGTATCGATAAATGATGAAATCAGCGCTCGACATGCCATCAGCATCGATAATAAATTCTCTTTTATAATTTCTATATATGCATCGTTGTACATGCGATAAACCGATTGATAGTTACAAGTATTACATGTCTTATATTAACCCATCCATTTGAAGGCAATGGATTTGCATTACGTTATATTTATCTGTAACATTTGTGCTCTTAGCTCGATACGCAATATCTGCATGGATCTCTTATGTATCTTTGATCCATTACTTTGAATTAAAATAAAAGAAACCACTCACCGACACGATTGCGCAGCAGCGGAGTTGTAGACTACGTTGCAAACTGTAACACAAGAATAACGTATAAATTATAACAGCGATCTTGAGATAACTAATTTGAGAAAATAATTATCACATACATCAAATTTGTTCCACGGTTTTTAATGACTATTTTTTTAAAAATAATTACAATTGTTGAAAATCTCATTTTCTTTAGCATAAATTTCTATAAGAAGTTTCAAAAATATTTTTCTTTAATGCTTATTTAAATTACTCGAGCGAAAGATCCAAACAAACGAGTGATATTGCGAGTGATAAATAATACATGTGATAAATAATACAATAAATTACTCAATGGTTGCTCCACCGATGCCTGATGCCTCCCAGGCCTCCTCCTCCTCCTCCTCCCAGATTCTTTTATTTTCACTCACTCACTGAAACATTGTAAATTATCACGCACTAATTACACAATAGAATCAAGACAACACTGCCGATGTTAATCGCACGTTAAAAGTATTTTACAAAAAATTCGAATACAAAGAGTGAAGTCGCACGAAACTGTTACATACGTTTACTGGTACGTACGATATATGTCTCGGAAATTAACGCGAGCGTACGAATCTCGAGGCGGAGGCAATACAAAAATCGCGTGGGCAACTTCGCACGCCACCCGCGGCGACGTTGCACCTGTTGCTATAAAAAATAATATATCCTCGCGATTTTTAAGGCAATTATTATTCCGCGTTACGAGCTAAGTGAATAAACGTCCGGATTAAAACTGAAGACGGATATCCGCTGATCTATAGATCGCGCGATTCTCACGAGTTCAAAGTGCATCTTAAATCGTCAATGCGAAAACATCGAATTTGCGAATAAATTACAGTATAAGGAAAATCGAGATGTTTCATGATTTCAAATCGATTCATGTTTCAAGTTTACATGGAAAAAACTGTTCTAAATCTAAAAATCTAAAAGCTGTTCTAAATCTAAAAATTTGATTAGATATAGATCTGAAGATAATTTTGTTGAACTTTCAAAATTATTATGTACGGCGTAATTAAATTCACTCCTGAAAGATCAAATATTCTTGCTCTATTAATATTATTACCATTTAAACGTTCTAAGTAATAATAATTTCGATGATTCAAAATTATATATCCTATTATATATATATAATTATATATTTTCAGATTTATATCTAACTAAAGTTTTAGATTTGCCAAAATTATTCTCTCCATGTGTTAATGGTGTACATATAAGGATTGTTGTTGAGTTCATTTTCGTTATTGATGTTCACGGAGAAAGACCGTATTTTTCTTGGAAAATACTTGTCGTTACGGAAGATAAACTCCACGTGTGCATCGTTGCCTTCCGCGTACACAAACGTAAACAAACTCCTGAAAAGTAAACAAATTATTATAACCTTTTTCATACATAAAATATCTAACGTATTACCGGAAACTCGCATATGCTAATTAATCGCGTGGATCGATCATAGATAGTTACTTGATGAAATTAAATACTTAATCGCGTTTCAGATATAATGTTACCAATCCGCAGAATAATTCGCGTCGCCATTCGCTTGAATCTCATTTAAATCTAATGTAAAGCACGCGAGAATGGTGAGAATCGCGCACGATGAATTCGTCGCGCTTGAAATATTCAGTTTAATATGAAATAAATGCGAGAGATATCTAAAATGATAAAAATTATTCGATAAAAGAACATTAGGAGTCTCTTCGCGTCTCGTCGCGATAAAGTCTTAAAAAATAATAACGCTAGTCGCCGTAAACGTAAATAAACCTTGAGACGCTCGACACGTCGTTGTATCGATGTACCGCTGAGAGCGCTATGTAACGATCCTTTCGAATATTTAACGCATTACCATAAAAGTCACAAGTGCTAGTATGCTACTTAATCAGATTAATCAAGATACTTACGAGAAAACGCGACGATTCGCGAACTAATTGCCGTCATTTGCCCGTCCTTTCCCGCGCACATCGTCTGAACTGTCCGAACTTAACATATATCCAATAGCATGAAGTATGCAACATGAAGTGAGCGACGAATGGCTAGGCCGCGCAATGAATTTGTTGCCGTCTCGATTTATTTCGCTTCACGCGCTACGAAATAAATCGTGACGATTATATTACAGCAAAAAATGATTTTGAATCAGACAGGATAATTGAGATTTAATAGGCAAAAATCGCTTTTTTGCGATATTTAAAAATTTTTTATAAAGAAGGTTGACGAAATATCGAAATTGATCGGAAGATAATGAATGTATTCTTCATCCCTTATCAATTGCATTTTTTCTTATTTCGATATATTATCTTTTTAATTATATTATGAAGAATATAAAATATTGATAAGATAGTAGACTTTTGCTATCTTAACAAAACTCTGTATTAAAATTCTGCATAACATGACAAAAAGAGAGAGATCAAAATAAAAAAAAATGCATTTTATAAGAGATAAGCAATACATTCATAATTTCTGATCAGGATTTCAAAATATTGTTAATTTTCTTTATACAAAAATCTTCAAATAATATAACAAAGAAACCATCTCTTTTGTATATTAAACTTAAGCATTTTGGAAACCTGACGTGCTAAATGACGTGGAAAAATTTGGCATTATTTTCAGCAGTCACAAAAATTTATAGGAAACATTTTGTCTGATTTAAAATAATTAAAAAATATATTTTTCTGTAATCTAGTGGTATCTGCATGCGAAGGTTATTTAAATAATAAATTATTTAAATATAAGGTAACGTTTGACATTTCACGATACTTGTCTCTGTTCGAGAGTTAATATAACGATAATATGAAACAGCGGCACGTGTCTCCACTTATCGACTTGAGTTTCAATGCTCAAACAAGATGGCTGTGACTTATGCGTTTACTCAAGCGTATACACATCATTCCTCCGATCGCAATTGTTTCGGACTAATTGCCAATTATCGGCATTCGAAATTGATTAATTGAATCGACGATTCTATCACGATTGTTTATTTCGAAGCAGACGTTTTATTCTTCGAAACTAAAATCGCGAGTGCGGGATGGGCGGGAGAGGGGCGGAGGCGGTAGGGAGAATCTCACTGCGATATTTACGGGCGATTATTACCACTTTGACGATATTCGCGCGTACGAACGTGGCGTGTATCTCATATCCGCGCTTTGCATTTTTCGCTTAATTAAACGTAATTTGCCGTATCATTGTCGGTTCGCGAGCGCCGAAGTAATTCACGAATCGCCGAATCGTGCAACTCAAGCCGCTGAAAGCCTTGATAATCGACAGTTGTTCGTTTATTAATAATACGGGAGATTTATGCGTTTTGTATTTATCGCGGATGCATAATGCTGCATTTCAATTGTATTCATTTTCGGATTGATCCGTCTCAGGTAATAAAGTGAGCACCGCGCGCGATTTTCCGATTAACTTCGGGAGCGTCCTGCAAAGAGCCGTGCGATTGTCGCATTCTAATGATTAATGCACGATCGTAATTAACCGTATTTTCGCGAGCGCGACAATGGAATTTGAGAGGAGGAGGAGAAGAAGAAAGAGGAGAAGGAGGTCCGGGCGAATATTGGCAAAGCAACCATGGAATAAGTAATTTATTATGTACATATATTATTTATCATTTGCAATCATTCGTTGCCGATTATTTAATTTTTTTTATTAATTAAATTTACTCGTATAATTTAAATAGGAATTGAAGAAAAGAAGTCTCATAAAAGCTTATAATAAAGAAAAGTGAAATCCTTTTGTCAAGACTATAATAATATTAACCAATAACTTTTATTTGTAAAATAATAAAAGAAACAATAATAAAAGAAACTAAATATGAGCAAAAAGAAGGAAAGTTTTTAAAAATAAATTTTATTTGCACAAAACGATAAAATCGAATGTGACTATTTTAATAAATAGCTGAATTGAAAAAACAAAAAAGGAATTCAATGGATGCAATAATTATTTGCTTAATTGTTAATTATTTCGATCGCTACAATATGTATCTTTGTGTATTACAGACGATGTAATTTGCGACGTAGTCTACAACTTCGCTGCTGTGCATCACATTAGTGAGTGACAAATTAACTCATTTTCAACATTTCAACATTTTAAATTGGGGTAATGAATCTGTGTAAATAGTATCGAATATATACATACAAGATGTATGTAAATGTCTACATATATTAAATAAGGGACACACATAATAGTTAAGTGGAATATCTTGTAGATTCTGTCTCAGAATAGATGGGATACAAGAAATTACGATCTGTATTTAATTCGAGTGTTCCCAATTATTCGCGTCGATTTATACGTATGAAAATTACTCGCGTATAAACGGATCTTAAAACTCGTTATATCAATTAATTATTGATACTTGGATGTCTTGTTATATGATAGAATACTAATTGCAAAATATACCAGTCGCCTGAAATTTATAGAGTAGATAATAACAAGAAAAATATCACGACTAGAGTAAGCTGGATAGAAATTAGATTAAAAAAATTAATTCCCGATCTAGTAAAGATATCATTTCTGATTAAGCATTTTACAGTATCGGCAATATAATGACACAGTTTTGTTAAAAAATACAGATCTGAAAAATAATATTGTTGATTAAAATATATTAAAATATATTTATGCCATTAAAATAATTGTGGAGGATGTTTAAATTGATTGCTAGAATATAAAAAAATTGGCAATATTATCATCATGCTTAAACATCCTATATATTAATTTTGATGGCCCAACAAAATTATTTTTCTATATAGATCTATATCTGATGAAATTTCTTATTCACTTACATTCGACATGCTAAACTAATTATGTATTATCCAATCTGTGGAAAAATCTCAATTTGAGAAGTTATTAGAGTTATTAGAATTTCTCTCTATTTCTCTGTATGTATGTAAATAATGGCGAAATCACAGTAGGTAATAGTTTCAAGCAAAATTAACTGCAACCGCACGCATCACGTTTGATTCAAGATTGATGACCGCGATGCGCATCAAATCCATGCAAACGCGCTACAATACAAATTATATAATTCTCGCATTAAATTGCAAGCCATTTATTAGTACTTAACACACTTCGATCGTTACGCAACTATAATTTCGCAAATAGACGCTACATCGTATTTTACTTTCCATTTTCTTCTCATTGGATTAAACTATCGGCATGTAAATTGATGCAAGCGTCGAGTAACACACGTGTTCCTGACGCTTCGTTTCTGCAACTCTCGCGCGAGATTATCGTCGATTGAGGTATCGAACGCATCGACGGGCGGTCGATCTCCTCGTAGATACGAGAACGGCATCGTCGGCCCTTTGATCGCCGCGGAAATGGGGAAGGGGACAAGAAAGTGGGTAGGCAGTGGAGCAGGTTGTAAAGCGTTGAACGGTTCAGAGGCAAAGCGCGGAAAATTAAAACGGACCACAGAGAGGAACGAGTTAG